GTAATATTATCCAAGTCAGTAATTCCATATTGAAAATCTGTATCAAACTTGCAGTATATATATATATATATATATATTTGCTCAATTATTTAAGGTTCACAATGAAGTTTAAAAGATAATTAAAAAACAAGTTATAGTTAATTTATCCACTTTAAACATGGAGAATTCCTGTGTGACATTGTCATCTACTTACAATAATGTATTTCATCTAGACCTAAGTACATACTTTCAGGGCCGTACCATCAGTGGTGTGAATGGTGCATTTGCACAAAATGCCAACTCATAGGAGGCACCAATTGATTAACAAAGATAATGTGTTGGGTTGGGGGCACTGAATTTATATGTTGCACAGGGCACCATCAAACATTGATACAGCACTGTGTTCTTTCATAGTATGCTGTGTAATTAAAAGTATTTAACTTTTTTCTTTTAGTGATGGACCAATATAAAAGGAGCAACTAGGCTTGCTGATTCCTAAGGAATGGATTAGTAACTTACAAATTCACCATGGGGAAAAATCAAATTTGTAAAAATCCCTCATATATTTCATGAAGAAAATAAAAATGAGTTTCATATGTGCTGCCAAATTTTTTAATAGAAGAAATGATCATATAAAATCAAAATAATTAAACTGTTGTACCAAATATTCAATAATTTTTTACCCATATTGATACAATCTGTGAAGATAACGAAAAATATCAGTATGAAAATAAAGTTCAATTGATACTAATATTTTAACCCTCATCCTCACAAGGGTAAATACAACTCAATCTGAACAGGGGGGGGGGGGTCTTTTTAAACCCCTATGTGAACAGTGAACATTTTAATGTCTTACTGTGTATAAAACATCAAGAGAAATTCAATATCAGCTTAAGAAATGTCTTCATGACTAATTCAGATATAAAATTACTATTTAAAATAAATAAAACTAAAAAATTTTCTTTTTCAAACTAGCAATACACCATATTCTTATATCATTGTCCTTTATGATTTTTTTTTGCTTAACTTTGCACCAAGATTACTTTTGCTTACAGTGTTTATGCACAGATGGGGGGAAAACAATAGCTTTGTTCCTTTTGGGAACACAAGAGACCAGAGTTAGATTATTATCAAATCCAAACACTGATGACTTAATTAGTCTCTGTGTTGATGGTTGAAAATTCTTAGGAATCTCTCGTTTGGTTTTCCTGATGATGCCAACAATGATCAGATTATGCTGGAGCATTTCCTTTGCATGGGGTACACTCATAAAAAATTGTCCATGGTAACATTTCATCCAGAACCATGATAAGACTGTGTAAGTTGTGTTATCACCTTTTCACCAACATTCTTTGTTGCACGCTGACCTTGTTGTTTGCCAAGATAATTCGCTAAGCTGCAAACATAAGCATTGTCTGAATTGCAGCAAAGCCACCACTTGATTCCATACTTTCCAGGTTTTGATGGCATGTACTACCTGAAAGGACAACAACCACAAAATAACACTAATTGTTAAACTGTTAGGTTTGCTCCAGGCTTGTATGGCCTCTGTAAAGGTGCCCTGAAAATGAGTAAGCATATCTCTAAATGATGCCAATTTGTTGGTATTACTGCGATCAGACCTGATTTGAAAATCATCAAAGTTTAGAAACCAAGATATTTTGAAAGAACCCCAGTTCCATGATGATATAAGTAGGGTGTCTAAAAAGACCCCTCTTTTTTTTTTTGTGGATGAGAGTTAACAGTCTTAACAAGTGTTTGTTGTAGTAATTGATTATAAGAATGCATTTGTTCATATTTGGGGTTTATGATAATACACGAGTTTATTTCTATTTTTTCTCCCTTATTAATCCAATGTCAATATTTCTGTTCTCTTAATTGTTTTTACTAATGTTTAAATACAAATGTGATACAGGGGCAATAATGCAGTTTGTTACTGATGTTGGGTATTTGTTATAATATATAAATGTGCTTGCACTTTTCTACTTTTAAAACAGTCCTTAATACATCAGATATTAACAAATTTTAAACAAGTTAATTATTTTCAGTAATGTGCATGAATCTTAGAGGTATTTTCCATTTCTGAAAATGAGATATATGAATATAGTTGTATCAGAAAAATTTTTGGAGAAAACCTCTTGAGTTGATGTATAACAATTCCAAAATATTTAGGGACCAACAATTTATATTGAATTTAGAAACATTTGATATATTCGTTTATATACATATCCTGAAATGTTTGTTTTGTTATTTCATTAACTCTTTATTTGAATAAAATTAACATCCTTATGTACTTATCTCAGAGTGTATTTTCCTGAGTAGCTACTGATATATGCACATTTTCATGTGCATCTGTTAAAGCTGCTTCCCAGTTGCTCACAGGTTTGTCTGAGGGCTTATAATGCTAAAAACCAGGATTTAATACTAGCATTGTGCACAGCACAAATAACCCATTAAGTTAAAGTCCTGTGCATTAATATTTTGATATATTTATCTTTTCTTTTATCCTTTTTACAAGAAAATTTTGAATTTTTTGTTTCTTTGCTAGATGAAAACATTAAATTACAAATTCACTGTAGAGAATCTTTAACATTCTGTAATTTTTCAGGTCTTTGTCACAATGGCTAAGGTCTTCTACATAACATTTTGTATTTTTTATATTCACAGATTTAACTTATGCATGTATTTTTTTCAAAAACAGTAATAATATCTTGAGACAATAGTATTTTTATGATGGTTTCAGTCATTGTTTTTTTTGTTAAAAATACTTTAAAGTCTAGTCTGCTTATTTGTAACAAGTTATTTATTTCTACGAATGTAATATAGAGTACAGGTTACATTCATTGATAGACCTAACTCAACAAAATAAACAGTCATTTGTTAAACTTCCTCTCATATTTACAAGTACAACACAACTCAAAACTGTCTGACTAACACAATTGCAAACTATATAACTGATTGACACCACTAACAGACTCACTAACCAACTGAATGGCTCAATGACTAACTAACTAACTAGCTTCTGTTGTTATATTAATATTTGCAAAGTTTTAGATAACTTGAGACATCTCGTCTCGTTTCTATAACTAAACTCACTCTAGCAACAATACAAAATGTCTAAATTAAAATATTTAAAATAGCCTACAACACTGCCCTCTGCATGAATTGTGAAGTCCCTCAGACAATCCTGATACACAAATAAAACAGTATATTAAGTTTAAAATTCATAATTAGTAATAAAGTCACCATTTATAATTTACAAAAATTAATATTCATATATAGAAATTACAATCACTATATCATGAATTAAATGTATTAAACAAAGTACCATCAAAATTCTCATTATTAAGAAATTTTTAACATCTTATTTACTTATTCTAAACTGTCTAATCGACAAATATTTTTGGTGGTTTTCTTTTCATTGGCTTATGGTGGGAAGATAAGATGGCACCTCTTGTCCTTTATTGTCACTTGCTTCTTTGTCAGTGAGGGACTTCTCCCCAAGCTGGTGATCAAGAGAATCTACTGGTGGTTCTATCCTTGGCCATGCTCTAGAACTGAGCTCTTCAGCAGGTTGATTTTCCCCTATAAATTTTTCTCTGAAGCAGGTTTAATAAGAACTTTTGGCTCCATGTAAGTTAACTTACCACTGGTGACATCTCTCTGAAGCTGACATACTTCAAAAACTATCACTGTGGATGACCTTTGACTTTGTCTTCCATATCCTATGACGAAATACCATTTTATCAGTATTTGCATCATAACAACTTTTCATCTTTATCTTTAGCTGGCTTAAGTCTTTCTCAATTAAAGTCATGTAAAGCACCAATGATGTTTCCTAGTCTCTCTTTGTAGGCCTAGCATGTGACCATTATTCTCTCACAGCATTGGTCAGCTTTTCTATTTAGACAATGTCGATTTGGTCAGCAAAATATAGTGCTAATTCTTTCCAACCTAGATGCTACAAACTACTGCAATATCCTCTCAGGCAAAATATACATTAATTATTATAGAGAGAAAAAAACAAAGCAACTAGAACAAGGGAATCTCTGTGACTCTCTGGACCATGTGTTTATACTAAAACTGCATACAAAGCAAATGTGTGAAAATACAAAAAATTCTATATAAAAAAAGCAGGTAGAAAACATATGGTATGCTTCATATCACAACTTTAACTTTAGTTTTCACTTTAGTGAACTAGGTTTAATGTAACATAAGTACATTTTTATATTGTAGATTTTTAAAAATATTTTTCATTTTGGTTGATAGTTTGATGTTTCCTTTTAAGGCTAGGAAATTTGAAGAGAGCTTAGGGAGTTTGAGGGCTTTATTAAATAACGTCAAGTTAACTTTTATTTTTGTACTGACATTCACCATACATATATTGATTTAATGTAGCTAAATGGACTTAACCCACTGCCTTACTGTTTGTTCATTAAATTTTGACCCATTTATACTATTTTTTGCGAATAATGAACAACTTGTAGTACGTAGTACAAAATATTTTATGTACGATTTTAAAACAGTAAGCTTAGATAATTGTTTATATGTATCAATATTGGTTAGAAGGAACTTTTAAATAGGTTTGTCGACAAGATCTAAAAATTAGTTTTGGTGAGAGAGGTCTTGAAACAATCAAACGTTTGTAATGCAGCTTCACACTTTTTACATATCTATCAACTGGTGCTTTTGATTCTTTTTCCTGTGCACAACTTGCATTGCCTAGAGGGTTTACTTTGACAGGGTTAGGTGGTATATTTCTTGGAAAGTGTCTTCAAGAAATATCCTGTGGCATCATAGGTGTATCACCCAATGGTCTTCCATGCCTGCTGTATACTGTCATTTGCACAGTTTCTAACATTTGCTCAACTACAGATACTTAGAAATCATTGTAATGGAACTTCTTCTTACCAGTCTGTTTCTTGTACAAAACATATGAATTATACATTGCCATATCCAAGAGATAACATATATGTTCCTTGTACACTTTACCATAATGACGCATGAGTCGGAATGAAGAGAGCTATTAATCCATTAGATCAACTCCACCCCTGCCTTTGTTATAGTCCAGGAAGGCCTTCAGTTTGAAAACAGGTTCTTTGGTTTTCTCTGTATCAGTCATATCTACACCATCGCGGGTTGTGGATAACACAGATATTGATTTCTTATCAACCCATTATATTGCCATCTGCTATATTGTACAGCATATTCACCTTTTTTCAAATTTTGTTTTTGAAGAGCATGAGGCATATGAAAAATTTTCCTCTTCAATATGACTGTTCCAAGCAGAAATCTTTGTTGTCAAACAGTCTCAAGAAAAGGTATGGTGATGTGTAACTGTAATCCACAAATATGCTATATCCTTGATCAAGTAACGGATTCATCAAGTCAAGAAGTATTGCTTCATGAGATGAAATATCTGGATCACGACATTTTGACCAGTGTAGATTTGAGACTGATAGCAATATCCACTGAATAACTCGCACATCTTGTAAAATTTTACTTCAAATCATGCTTGTTTAAAATGAATGTATTGTACAATGCCAGCCTCCCCTGACTCTTAATCACATTGTCATCAATAGCTATGTACTTTTCTGGAGTGTACACATATTAGAATTTCGTGTTCAAAACATCTACCTACGTTTTACGTAATCTGCCTAAGATGTCTGCATTGGCGTCATTTGTAAAATGCAAATATTTACAAATCCACCAAAATCTTTTATATGGCATAACATTGGCAAAAAAAAATAGGGGGAGTCTGTTGATTTTCTCACATTCCAATCATTTTACATGTTGATTTTCCCCCTTGTGATTATAAGATGCATAGTGCAAAAAACTTTGATTTTATCCTTGGTTGTCTTAAACCATTTTATATCAAGAGAGTTGTTTCCAGCATTTGCATCGAAGTTCATGTTTTGATTAGCATACATGTTTGTTTCGTGACATACTTCTTCCCAGAAATAATCATTTAGAAACTTTGAAAAATATCACACGGTTCTAGATTATTTTCCAGAGCTCTATCAGTAACACTATTTATACCTGTCTCCCCTGTGAACTGATCTACTGTTAGATTGCTATCAGTAGGGCAACCTTATAGCATGACACTGTAGGCTTGTGTGTATTATTTGGGGCGGGATATAGTACTAAGAATTTCAGTCACTTGTGTTATACAAACTACTGTAATTTTTACTCGAAGATAAACTTCTTTCTACCTTATTTTTTAGTGAAATATCAAAAATATTTTTGTCATTGTAAATTTCCAAATGTGCATTTTCTATCTCTATATCTTCCACACACATATGCTGCATGATGATTGTTAGAGGTAAACAATGGTAAAAAAAATTACATGACAAATATATTCTAGTACAAACGTTCTGCCATCTAGGGTTTAAATAAAGTAACTACTATGTAGTATAATCCACTTGAGGCCCATTTCACACGATGTCATGAAATCAATGTTGAGGTAAGGAGGGTAAGAATAGTAGCACTAAGGCATATTAATCTACCTGAATTTTTTACCTTTGTAAAATCTATGTACAACAAGGTAAGACAATGAGTTAACATAGAAGTTTGACTTCCAGCGAAAATAGGGTTTGTTGGAACTAATAAGTTTAATCATTATAAGGGTTTTTGTATAAGTGGGCTGGGAATATTCTACAATAGGTGTCTGTGACTTGTTGGCAATAAATTTGAACAATAAATGAACAGCACACAACCCATTTGTTTTAAAATAAAATATTCAAATCAAGTCAAATGTATTGCACAAAAATTTTTTACATTATAGGATATAACAGTTTTATCTAAACCTAAATAATTATCTTTTCTTTTGAAAAGCTCACACAGGCTATTTCAGTTACTTTATAATGCAACTGACAAAATGAATTATTTCTCTCTACTCTGTTTCTTACTATACAACCTGCAATAAATTCACTTACAGTACCCCGTGAGTTATCACAACTGTATCCAGAACTTTCAATGTAATAATTGTGTACCTTTCATCAAAGTCCACCCAGGTGGGTTCAATTACTTTAGAACACCCATTGACAAGACAAATTATTCTCCTTATCTCTGTTAAACTGTAAAACTTACTTTAAAATATCCCCTGCTATGACTAAACTAATAACCACGCAGTCTAACTTCACTTTCACTAACTTAACTTTTACTTACTTCCTTCACTTAACTTCTTTTGTTTGTTACTACAGTTGTATCCAGAGCTTTAAATAATTGTCTCTTTTTTTCGTCAAAAGTCCACAATTTAGAACCCAATTGACAAGGCAAGTTATTTTTCC